AATGGTTGGATCCAAATTGGCGGATGGGACAAGGTGATGTTACCCACTCCAGTGGCTAAAGCTTTACACTAGTATCTGTGGAGAAGACTGAGGATTATATTTGCCCTTGACAAGTAATTTTAAGGAGGCTGTGGACTAGATTTGGGGCACAAGAGGCTTCTTAGCAGTTTGTATATTAAAAGCCTCCTTTCCTTTTTCTTCGGTCTGAGGCCATTGTTTCAGTTATCGGCTATTTGAATTTCAAAGACATGGTAAGATTTATGTCTTCGAGGGACGAGAAAGAATGCAAGTTTGGGGGTATATTGTCTATTATCAGCAGTCCAGGGTAATTACTATTTAAAATTTTCCTTCTTTTGCTTAAATGAGGAATAGTTGACTTCTGATGCCATGATTTTTTTACAGTGTCTGCAAATGTCTGGAGGCAAATGGGGAGGATCAGAGTGAGTCTGAGTTGCTCCCAGAGTTAGGCTTTGTTTCTCTGAAGACTGAAGTTGTAAATCAAAAGCTGGATTCTCACTCCTTTTACCGACTCTTCCTGCAAGCTGCCTTCAAAGAATCGGGTAGCCTTTTCCATCGTAATGCCGAGAGCTCCACTGGGCCACCCAACCACACTATTTCGAATTCGCCTTTTTATGTCAGGGAGAAAGTTTTCCACCGAGGTAGAAATGAAAGGGTTCCTACGTTCTGGCACTTCAGGGTTCAGCGTGCCCTGCCTGTGAAAAGTCTATAGAAAGCGTTCCACAAAGGCCTCGGGCTCGCTCCTTCTGTTTGAGGGCTCAATTTAACTTTCGACCAGTTCCCTGGGAGGAAAACCCTCTGTGGAGGGGGGGTTTCTGACCATCTGTTTCCTCATTAGGGGGTTTTCTCCTGGGAGCCTCAGGCTCGTAATTACAGTCCAATCATGGGTGGGAGTAACACCTCTTAGGGTTAGATAAGGTCTCGGTAAACAGGGTTGTCAGTGGCCCTCAATGTTTTAAATTCCTCTTGAAGTTCAGAAGGAGCTTCGGAAAGGGAGGTCGAGGGACTTTACAACTGAAAAGCTCTGCTTCTGTCGGGGGACATGAGTTCTTCGGGCGGGATCTCAGACACATCTGCAAAGGGCTTTGCATAGAGAGGCCTGACTCCGGCAGAGCCCAGCAAAGGGAGGAGCCTCCCTGTTGCCTGGCTGCTTCTGCTAACTTCACTTGCTTGCTTCCAGCGTTTACGGAGCAACCTGTAGACGCTGGGTCTAGAGATCAGGCCGGAGCGCTCTGTGTAAATCCGTTCAAACAGGCAGCGGGGCGTGTAAGGGGCTTTCTGGGGACAGCACGGGAGTCTGGGAGCGGAGAAAGTTTGCTGAGGAGATGGGGTCGGATTTTAAGGAGGAGAGGTTATGTCGGATGTGCCTGCGGTTTGAGTTCTAACTTTTGTTCTTTCTTCTACCTTACTAATGGAGTCCCTAAGGCTGTGTTCCTTTGTGTCCAGTTTTTGGCTTGGTCTTTCCGTGGTTCCCATAGGACAACTTTTTAGGCTGAGAGCTCTCTGCAATAAATGTATATATATTCTTTTAAGTCTAGCCAATTCAAAGGCTCCATTGTCTGGCCATTGGTGAGTAGGATCTTACATTAACCTCAACAGTGACTCATGGCTTAACCAGGGATGCAAGAGGCATCTCAAAAGAGAGTGCAAAGCTGCAGCCTTTACGGGACCCAGAAAGTTCCTTCCCGTTTAGCCCAGGGAAACCAAAGGACTTCATTGTCACAGGTGTCGGGAATGGTGTAGTACAGCCGATGTCTCTGCTCTCCCACGAGAATGTGACACCTCCAGGCTGGGCCCGCCATCGGTGACGCTGCACAGATGCTCCTGGACTGGGACTTTTCCAGCACTAACAAGACCAGATGAGACCCCTATGGACTGTATCCCCTTCTGACAAATTCCCCTGAGAGCTGGCACGGTCAGACACCAAGTGCGGCTTGTGACCGCCTGGCTCAGAACCCCAGCTGCGTGCCGGCACAGGCACTTTCTGGCCAGTGGAGACCGGCGAGAGTATTGTCGCTGGTCACAAAGCTAAGCTCTCAGGACATAGACCAAAACGAAAAGAAAACTCGACCCGTTTTCACACAGGGGACCCAAGGCGAAATCTGCCCACACAGACGCCGGTCTGCTGAGGATCGTGAACGCAGCATAGGCCGGCTCCTCCGATGGCTCGGTAGGACCTGTGCCTGCGTCCTGCCCTGTGCTTTTCCTCCTTGTGACATGTGACACACAAGACAGACACAAGCAATGACCATCTGCAGGACGAAGGACCGAAAGGAAAGTGGAGTGCTCGTCAGGAGCCTTTGCCACAGGCTCCACACCCGGGGACTCCGTCTGCTGCCAGCCTGACTCTCGGGAAGGACAGGGACGGTGAGCGCCCTCGAGCCCACTGACCCCGCAGGCGGAGGTCCCGGCGTCGCCAGCTGCAGCGCCATAGCAAGCAGTGTCCAGCAGGCGAGGACTCGCGTCGGGCACCACGAGTGCAGCGGGGTAACTTCCTCCTCTTCTAGCTTCTGGGTTCTTCGGTCTAATCGTTGCTCGGGCACATGACAGAGTAACGGGAGGAAAAAATCCAAATTTAATTTTGTACATATGGGAGCCCCCAAAATAGGAGGCTCCCGGACAGTCAGATGGCTGAGGCTTGCAACAGGCCAACCTGAGTGAGGGAGGAGGGCCAGGGGCCGGGAAGATGGTTCTGGAAGGACGGGAGAGCCATGTTTGGTAAATAAGTGTTCACCCTAAGGAGTCATCTCAGCTCTCTGCCCGGCACAGGCTCCCTATCCGCGCGCTTTTAGGCCGTTAAGGGACAGGGGGAAAAAAGTCTTCCTGACTGTGTTAGGCCTCGATTGCCTTCGGTTCAAAATCATCCACGTGCCAAAGTGGCACATTTCGGGGTCACATATCCTGCTCCCCCTCAAATAAGAAGTCAGGTCCCCAGAGGAAGACGGTTTTTCTGGTGCGAGTGCGGGTGTGTTTCCGACCAGACGCGGCCGTGTCTAGGGGGGTCACTCTGTCTGGGTCATAGCGGTTACAATCTGGGGACAGCTGGCCTGAAGACGCTGCTGAGGTTCTTGGCCACATTTAGAAGGGGCAAGAGGGAGCCCTTTGTCAGCTCACGGGAGGCCGGGTTGGACTGACGCTGCGTCTCCTGCAGCAGATGCGCTTTGTGGGACGGGAGGCGGGGGCTGCCACGCTCTCGTGAGCGACCGCATTCCTGTTCGGAGCGGGGGCGACACGTGCGGAGCCGTCTAGTCGATCAGACGTGCTCTTTTGCTTGCCCCTCAGGCGCCGGTCCTAAGCACGGCAGGTGCACTTGGGGCGCTGCTGTGATCTTTCGGGGTGGGGGAGGGCTCACAGCCGCTGAAGATGAACTACGGGCAGCAGAGCGCGGCTGAAGTCGAAGGGGCTGGCACCGTCGACTCCACATTCGAGTTTACCTGCCATTAGAAACGGAAGACTGTGCAGCCTGGCAGGCACGAGACAGTCACCGTCAGCTGACAGCGCCGTGACAAGCCAGCCGGGAGGGCTGTTCCCCGATTGTGTTAGTCAAGGCCGGCCTGGGGAGGGGTCCGACACCGACACCAACCACCTGCCCTGTGATTGGCAAACGGCGAAGTGTTGGGAGTCATCGCCGAAAGTGTGTAATTTCCAGGGGATGGCTGTTCAGTCGTCACCTTGCTGCCGAATGACACCGCCCGGCTGCTGTGACCCTGGCATGATTGTTTTCTTCCTACACACAATGGCTCAGTCAGACGTCACCAGCCAGTGTTCTGTGCCCCACTGAAATGGCCTGTTGTTCAAAGGAACAGAAAAGAGGCCCCTGTGCTGGTCCCCGGGGAAGAGGGACGGAGGGACGGAGGGACGGAGGGAGGGCCAGCCCTCTCACCCGTGCTGTGGCGGAGAAGCGGAAGCCAGTTCGCCTTACATGAAGCCGCTCCTTCGCCTCGGCTGGGAGGGACATGGCATGCCCGGGCTGGTCTCGTGGGTCACAGAATCGCTTGGCATTCGGTTTTCTGTGCTGAGCGTTCGGGTGCACAGTGACACGGAGCTGGCCACTGCGGGGTGCAGGGGAGCAGAGTGCTGTTAGCTGTCAGGGGCGTCTTCCCTGAAGGCGGACTCACCCACACCTGCTGAAACTCATTCTGGAAGCGGTCAACCGTGGCTCTTTGTCCCCTTGGCGGTTGCAAACCTTGGTTGACACGTGGCTTCTTTGAGGACAATTCGAGGTTCTTTTTATCTGTTCTTTTCCATGGCGCCGGAATGGCCACCCTACGGTTAGCGTTTAGCACGAGGGCAACTGTTTTTCTACAGTACGGTGGTCGTGGACCAAATAGACAAATTTACCTGCTGGTTACTGAGCCCTCTGACAGCTGAAGCCCAATGGGAAAAAAATCAGGTGCTTCGCTGGCTGGAGAGGGGAGCTGAAGACGCCCCTCTGTCCAGCACTGGTCTGAGGCAGGCGGTGAATCGAGAGGGCTCGGCCTCAGCGAGCAGCCCTGCCGCTGGTCCGTCCCCAGCACCGGCATCCGGCGTCTGCGCGAACTTATTTATTCCCTAATGGCAGGCCAGGGATGGAGAGATGTGCAGAAAATCAAAATCTTTCTGCACGAGGTAAGATACCGCAGAGGCCGCCACAGCACCCCCGGCTCTGCCCTGCTCTCCGTTTCCTGCTTTTCATTGTGGAGCTCAGGCCCCCCCATCGTCGATCCTGATTAGAGGGTGACTAATACTAAGGGTTGTTTTGTTTTTTTTTAAGTCTATCATTGTCACACTTAATTCCTTAGGTATCAAATCCACAAGCAGATTGTGGCTGTGCATGAAACATGGTTAATCCAGGGGCCTGCGGTAAACGGTGGAAAGCCGCGTCCCAGCAAATGTGGAATGTGGCCTTTTCTGGAGGGACTTTTACCGGTCTATGGTCTCTTTCTTCATAAATTTGTCCTCTGCTTGGTTCTCTTGGTAACGTAACCGTTTGTCGTTTGCAGACCCCAGAATGGCTCGATGATCCTCTACAACAGGAAGAAAGTGAAATACAGGAAGGACGGGTATTGCTGGAAGAAGAGGAAAGATGGCAAAACCACCAGAGAGGACCACATGAAGCTGAAGGTCCAGGGCGTGGAGGTAAAGCGCACACAAGGCTTTTGTCGTTGTTGTTGTACAAATGTCGTTTTCGGGCCACGATGAGGACGGCGTTGCTGTGGCGGGGTCGGCGCCCGTCACCTCTGCCCCCAGCGTCTGTGTTGGTCAAGCCCCTGCTTATTGTTTCCTGCGACCTTCGCACCCCACAGTCTCCACTCCGGTGACACCGATTCCACTAAAGCTCCCGTTCCTCGGGAGGCACCGGTGTGTGGGCTGGGACCGCAAGCTGCCTGCAGAAGCGAGCGGGTCCCATGGGAATGGTGGTCGCCAGCCAGAGCCTGGCTTCCCTCCCTCCACAGACCAGCCCTTCTGTTCCCCTGTGGGTGTTTCGGCCTCGGGGAGCGCGCAGGCCTTAGAGCTAATTCGATGCGCTGACAGGTGTGTGGGATGGTTGCGGGGCCAGGTGAGCTCGGCAGAAAGCACCGCGGGGCCTCATACACACCTGAGTTATGTCCTTGGGGCACAGGGCACTGTCTGGTTTCCTTGCGGTCGTCCTGACTCCACAGGGTCTCACCCTGGTTCCTCTGTCACGGTCCGAGCGCCCAAGCCAAGTGTCACGGCACGGGACGTGAACCGCGGTGTGCCACTGGCCGGCCAGCGGGTGAGCACCCGCTTCTCCGTGTTTCTCGCTGACCCCCGTACGGGTCTTCCCTGGGGGCGTGGTGGGCGCCGTCTTGGGCCAGGAGCCAAGGAGCTGGCTTGTGAGCCCCCGGTACTCCGAACTGGCCGAAGGGAGGTCCCCCTGGAGTGTGTTGGCACGTGGGTCTGCTAGCGAGCCGGGATCGATGGCCAGCACTGGCGTCCAGCAGCTCGCCCTCCATGCCGGCATGCCTTGTGACGCACTTGTCATCGTGGCCTCTTCTGTTTGAATCGCGTTCTTCAATGGCTACTGAAAATAGCATCCAATGGCTTTTATTGGATCACGCCACAGAGAGATGGACGCTTGTCTATGATTTTGTGGGGTCTTTTAAACACCTAGGCGCAGCACTCTATGATGATGAACAAAGAGCCTGACAGAGAATCTCGGTTCCCCGCTCTCGCCTGTGGGAGAGGGGATGTGGGGGGCGAGAATGAGGGGTGCTCTCGGGCGCAGCAGTGCTGGGAATTCACGCCAGAGCTGTGGCAAACAGCGCCTGTGCCCGCAGGTCTCTGCGCGTCCCATCTTCGGTGACGTGGAAGTGTCAGTAACGGGGTGGCGTTCTTCCTCGCAGCCCAGAAGCCCAGAGGGGAACGAGCCTCCGTGTTCATTTTCTCCCCTCGGTTATAAATTAGCATCGTCTCTGGGCGGAACCAGAGTGATCTGTGGTTATTCCCAGGCCGCCTTTGCGTTTGGGGTGACTGTGGCTGCCGCCCCTGAGGGCTGGTGTGGAGGCACATGCACGGGGACCGTCTGGACCCCTGGAGCACAGCAGGGCTTGGGGGGACATATGAGACTGTGAGGGGTGTCCATGACTTTCCAGGTGTGAGTGGCAGTGGGCGGTGGGCAGGGCACATGGGTTGGGACAAGCCTTGGCCAGCGACACAGGGGTGTGCTCTCGGGTTCTCGGAGACAGAGGCCACCTCGGTGGCCTCAGGTGTAGAGGCCTCTCGCACTGAGCTCAGGGAGTCGTCCCACTGAGTGGCTCAACAAACACTGCATGTGGCCCTACTCTGCGCACGGCCCTGTGGTGTCTACAGAGAAAAAAGGAGCCATGTCCTCTGCCCCGTGGACTCAAAGGAGCCAGCCGTACCTGGAGGTCATCAGTGGTGTGAGAGGTACGGAGGGCTGGGCCTTACGACAGGCGTCCTGGAGGGGCTGATATGGTCAGGGTCTCAGGTGAGGTGGGTAGTAAGCCAAGCGCCACAGCTGGTGGGACTGTGGGCCTGACTCACGCCGAGTTCTGCGTAGCTTCCCTGGTCACTCGGCACGGTAGTTGGGGCTGCACCTGCGTTATACTTAGACCCCCGCATCCCTTTAACCGCGTCCCGCTGTGTGAGCACCCGGGGCCCCCTAGTCCGTGGGCTTTTAGATCCGTGTTCTCAGCGTCGCACGCTATGCGCGTCTGCGCGTGCAGCGTGCGGCCGGGCCCTGCAGTCGCCGGCTGTGAGGTCTGAGCAGTTTCCGTTTTACTGGACACGGCCAGACCCCTGCGAAGTGGCTGCGCTAATGACCAGCACCGAGCGCTGCTGTCTCCTCCTCACCCCGTCACACACCGGTGGATGAAAGGTGGTTTGAACTTGGTCTTCCCTAACTATTCCTGGGGCGAGCACATTCTTGCGTTAATCGCAGCCCTTTGCTGTGGACTGTCTACCATGGGTGTGACTTTTAAACGTCCCCCGAAGACAGCCGCCTCTGGCAAGACCAACTCCGCATCTCACTGGTTCCTCCCGCACGTGCCCCCGGTGGCCGGGAAGCCCAGTGGTCATGCAGGGCACAGTGGCCGCTGGTCCTTTCCACGTGGGGCACTGTGATGTGGATATACACGGGGTTTTGTGTCCTGCGGGGCCGGGGGGGTTCGCCAGTTTGGAACCTGTTTTCTCCTTCCGTGGACTCCTCGGGCGGTTCCCGCTGACTCAGCCCCCACGTCGTGCGAGGCTCGGTGCCAGCCAGCGTACCCAGCCGCCGGGAGAGGCAGGCAGCCTCGCACGGGGTCCTGGAGCTGTGATTTTCTGCCACCCGGGCCGGGCACCTCGGGTCAGGGGCACGATGAAGATATCCGGACGTACCGTTTAACACATCACTCGCTGTAAGCCTTCCCTCAGGCCAGGAGAACTTCCAGCCCTGATGCTTTTGTTCTCAGGCTGGGGCCCTTGATACACAATGCGACTCAGAGGCACATTGATTTTCTCAGCCGGGCACAGGATGGGGGCAGCCGCTTCTGAAGCTGACGAGCTGTTAGGTCCACGATTAGTCGTCTTATCTGTAAGCCAAGGAGACGCCAACTCGATAAGGTTTCCGGGGATGACAGAGGTTGGCAGAGAGGAAAAAGAAGGTGGCTGTGATGTCAGCGTCTCAGGAGATGAAGTCTCGGCGGGCCGGAAGCGGGTCCCGCTCCACACACAGATTTACGCCTGCCTTTCGGGAGCCTGATGGGGGCGGGAAGTCCTGAGTGCAGACGGGCAGATCTAAAGCGTCCCCTTCCCTCCGGGATTGCTGTGCCAGGGGTCGGACGAGCTGGGATAAGCCAGCCCGAGGTGATGTGGGCCAAGCCGGAAGAGGACCTTTCAAGTTCACGGTGCTCTTGTCTGGCCTCAGAAGCGTGCGGGGCTGTCTTCAGCCCGGTCCTCATACCCCTCTCCGGAGAGTGACGGCCTGTCAGAACCAAGGCTAGCTCTGGGCTGCCCACCTACCAACCTCTTCACTGCTGGGCTCCATGACAGAGAGAGGCCACATGCTGAGTGCAGCGACAGCCACGTGCCAGGTGCATGTGTCACCCAACCCTCCTCAAAACGTCCATGCAGAGCCCTTGCTAGACCCAGTTCATAGAGGAAGAGACTGAGCCCCAGAGAGGGTCTCGCCCCACATCCTGCCACAAATCGGTGGGGACCTGGGACTTGAGCCGGGCGAGCCTGGTTCTGACATGCGCCTGCCCTGACACCGGTCGCTCCCGGACACTCGGTGGGACTTGTAGTTGTTTCACGTCAAGTCAGCACATACCCTTCAGTCACCAGCCGGTTGTCAAATGCACAACGCGACCCAGCAGCATCGTGATGGGTACGGAGGACGCGGTGCTGTAAAAGACGCTTGTGATGTCACGGGGGTCAAACGTCGAGCACGCAGGCCTGACACAGGGCGGCGTGGACTGAGATGGAGCAATCGCAAGGCCCCGAGCGGAGCACGTAGCAACGCGACCCAGCAGCATCGTGATGGGTACGGAGGATGCGGTGCTGTAAAGACGCTTGGGATGTCACGGGGGTCAAACATCGAGCACGCAGGCCTGACACAGGGCGGCGTGGGCTGAGACGGAGCAATCGCAAGGCCCCGAGCGGAGCACGTAGGGGGGCTGCCGAAGGCCCACTCGGGCTTACGGAAGTGACGTACACACGGGGAACTAGGCGAAGGCTGGAGTCAGACAGTGAAGCCTCAGTGGGCAGCGACAGAGGCTGGTTTAAAATAGCTAATGTGGTTCAAAGCGGCAGGTGGCCAGTACTGCCCGGTGTCAGGCCAGATGTTCGCCTCCCGGGGCTGAGACTTTCTCTGCCTCGATCGCACAGCGCGCCTTGCCGGATGTCCTGCCCCGGGTGCCTACTGGCGGTCGCTGCAGGGGCTGTCAGCTCCACGTGGCGCCGTGGACCAAGACGCCCTCCCCACCGAGCCCATTCCGTGGTGGACAGGAAACTCCCGGCCTGGACCATCCGCCCGGCAGAAAAGGCGGCCGTCATCTCTGATGGGAAGTTGCAGCCGCGAAGAGAAGGTGTTTGACTACCTGCCTGTGCCACCAGGAGGAAGCCGGCTCCGCTGACCCCTTGACGGACTGCCCGGGGCTCCAAGCCGTCGCGAGCGTGCTGACGGCGGTAACGAGGTTGTGTTTGTGGACTGGGCCTCATTAGGACCGATGTTATTTACTTGGGCACGTAGGCCACATATTAAAAAGAAAAAAAGCACCTCTTTTCAAAGTAGGAATGATATTGTAGTTGCTGCATTAGGAATTAACAGGGCATGAAATAACTGTCTGCCTTGTGGCGATGCCAGATCATCTCAGCTCTGCTTGCAGCCGTAAGACAAATAGGCATCTCACTTGCCGCTGATGGAAAATATTTAAAATAGCCAGCCACGAACTTGTATGGTGCCCAGATCAAGTTTGGAAAACAGCAGTGAGCAGGCAGAGAGGCAGCTGGCTCCTAAAACAGCTGAGCGGTGGACGCTCACTTAGGGCCAATGAGTCTGTGTGTGGCCTCTGTGTTTAAATAGGAGACATATCTTTTTGCTTTTCGTAAGTGACTGCGTGGCTTTGGTCTGTGGACGTATTCGTTAGGTCTGCTGCCCTTCAGACTCGCTGGGT